CCACTGCTAATCCCGGAATGGAAATGGGAACATATCACCATAGACTTTATAACAGGACTGCCTAAAGCACGTTCGAGACATGATATGATTTGGATAATTGTTAATTGACTCACTAAGTCCTCCCATTTCCTAACTATCAGAATAACATATCCGTGGACACGATAACTATTATCTATATTTAGGAGATAGTCAGATTGCATAGAGTTCTAGTGACTGTGGTATTAGATAGGGACCCTAGGTTCACCTCTAGGTTTTGGACAAGCCTTTAACAAGAAATGGGAACAAAATTGTCTCTTATTACAGCATTCCACCCTAACTATATGTACAATCAAAACAAACTATTTGCACATGGGAGGATATGCTTAGAGTTTATGTTCTAGATTTCGGAGGGCACTAGGATGACCATCTACCCCTGCTAGAGTTTGCCTATAATAACAGTTATCAGATAAGTATTAGTATGCATTTATATAAGGCATTATATGGTCAACCCTGTAGGTCACTGATTTATTAGGAAGAGGTAGGTGACAAGAAACTGATTGGCCCAGATCTTGTTAATGAGACCACATTAAAGATTGCAAGATCAGGAAAAATATTTAAACGACTTAGAGTAGACAGAAAAGTTATACGGACACCTGAATGGGAGATTTAGAATTTGGGAAAGGCAATCAAGTGTTCTTTAAGGTCACCCCTTTTAAGGGCATCACCAGAATTGGAAAGAGGAGAAAGTTGAATCCCTGGTTTATCGGACCATTTAAAATTTTGGATAGGATTGAGATATCCGCTTACAGACTAGCACTACCTCCAGAACTATCCAATGTCCATAACATCTTCTATGTATCAATGCTGCGCATGTGTAACCCTGACCCCTCACATATTTTATCTTACAAGTCACTTCCATTTTAAGAGAATTTATCTTATAAAGAAGTACCGGTTAGCATTTTAGACTGAAAGAGTAGAGTGCTTCGCAACAGAAAAATTCTCTTTATCAAAGTTCTGTGGTAAAACCATTTGCAGGACGAGGCTACCTGGGAGTTAGAATCAGACTTCAGGGTTAGGTATCATCAATTGTCTAACTAGGGGCAGTAATTTGATGGATCAAATTTTTTTAAGAGTGGAGAGTTGTAACATCTCGATATCAGAATTTAGGCTCATAATGATGTAATTTAATTTTTTCAATGATAATAAAAGAGCTAATTTTGATTATTTTTTAGAAATATGGATTTTGGATGAATTTGAAAATAATTTTAAAAAATATGGCGAAACTGTAAATAAAAAGGGTGTATTTGAAAAAAAAAGTTTAAAAATAGGGGTCAAATCACAAAAATAAGAAATGCGGGCCACGTAGGATGCCACATCAGCAGCATGGCGAGTCAGAATGTGTTGCGTGGCGGGCACGCTAGCACGAGCTCCACGCGAGTGATCCGCGTGCCTGGGCGATCTAATGACCCATGTTCATTCCCACACGCATGAATGGTTCGGATTGATTTCCCATATAAGTGCGATCAGACGACCCACGCGTCTTCGATCAAACGACCCAAATTTATTTTCTTAATAAGCGCGATCGAATGGTTGAAGAGGATCCACGTGGACTTGGATGGATGGCCTAGATCGAGAGAATGGGGATATTTAAGCACATCTTTTATCGAAACCGTAACCCTAGCCACACACCCACTCACCAAAGAAAAAAAAGAAGGGTAGCTGGAGGAGAAGCCCAGCCTCCGGTGCTACCGTATTGGAGACCCAAAACGTGCCAGTGAGTACGATTTTTCTTTCCGTTCTTCCTATTTCTCCTTCCTTTAACCACCTAACACATTTTTTATGCAGATTAACCAAAAATAACCGCGACCTGTGAGGAATAACGATTGAGCTCAGCTGAGCCACCGCACCAAAAAGTCAAAATCGCTGGTAAGCTTCAGTTTTTCCTCTCTTTCAATCGATAAAAACCTCCTAACCATGAGTTAAACAAATTATGATTGAGAACCGGCCAAAAAGTCCTGATCAAGAGGAGGAGCCACTGGAGAAGGACCAAGCGGTAGAGCACGGCACCGCCGCGGCACTAGAACCCCAACCTAACCCCCTGGTGAGAGTTTTATCTTGTTTTGCCATTTCTCACGTATTTTTATGCTATTTTGACATACGTTTCGATCTTAGTAGGAAAACTTAAGAATCTAAGAATCGAAAACTGTAGTGAAAAAAGTAATGTTCTAAACACCGATCTATAGTAAGAATCTATCACCCATTTTTTCTATTACGGTTAAATTGAAGTTAAACTAATAAAAAATAGAAATTTTAGTTAATCTGTGGTCTTTTAATTGATTAAAATATATGTTGTCAATGGAGCAAGTAACTGGTCAGTTTATACCTGTTTTGAGTTTTAAATGTAGTAGTTATTTCTTCAGTTGTTTATTATACTTATCTATTCACTGTATTGCTTATTTTAATGTATTTGTTTTAATTCTATGACGAATGTGATGAAATTTCTTAATCTATGTTGTCATGGCATTCTATTGTATGAATAATACGTTTCTGTCGGTATAATGCATGTTTATTTCATGTACCTACCCTAAAATATGAATTCCATACTCGTGTTGTTTGGGATATAGATGTACGTATCTTTTAAGGCTAAATAGTAAATAAAAGAAAAGATATACATGAATTAAAGTTGTTGAATAAAAGGGGCTTACCGAATGTCTTGGAAAAGAATCTACGGACTTGGTGCATAGGGTGAACTCTACCATAGATGTTACCCTCCTTCGTACCAGGTTAAGAAGTCCCATACCGAAAGGGGTTGAGAATCGTTTTAATTACACTCATATCGGATGGGGTATTGAGGTGGCTGTGTATTTTGGCGCCCATTACCAGACGAAGTATGGGGACAATCATTTAATTAATAGAATGAATGTTTGTGTGCACGTGTAGTGAGGATCTCTATGGACCCCCAGCGAAATCAGTGTGCAAGGTAAAATAATAAATATGAATATGGTAAGAATACAGTTTTAAGAAGTAGCGTAAGATTAATTATTATATATCTTTTAGAATGTGCATTGTATATTACTATTCTGATTCTTACCTTAATAAATTACATTTAAAAATTTACAGGTGAGTTGAGAAATACTAACGTTTTTAGTGAAACAAATAATGAATACACTAGTGTTCGAATTTTATTAAAAATGAGCTTTATTTGTTGTTTTATGTTTTCTACATTCTTTTAATTTTTTGTATCAATGGTAAGGTATTGATATGCTTACTGAGGTAGTGTATCTCACTCTTTATTATTAATCATTTCATATCAAAACGACCAAGATTCGCATTATGAATAGCAAGAAAACTAACTACCTCTCCGCTTTCCCAATTTTGAGCAAAGGTTGATCATATTTGTTTTCTTTTATACTTTTTTTATTTAAGTTTTCAAAGGCATTCCTGTAGTCCTATTGGACATTTTAAGTAAACTGTACAAGGAATGTAACACTAAACTCTAATTGTTTTCATTAAATTACAAATTTCAGTATTACTTATTTCATTATTTCTGAGTCATATGCTAAGAATCCCTAATAAGGGATTTTGGCTTTTACAATGTTTCACCATTTTCTCCCTATTTCAAGCTAATCAACAATGAAGCGACATGTGAAGGGGAAGAGTTATTGGTTATATGAAGCAGAAGTTAGATCTCTCTTCCTCAGTCACGAATATATTGCCAAGCGTCAAAGATAAAGTTGTTGATATGTGCATTGAGGTTACCAAATCGGTCTATGCCATGTCGGCTCCATGCTTTGGTGAAGATGGTACAAATGAGTTTAGAAATGGAGACTACATAATGGTGGAGATGTATGAGCAAAAGAAAATTGCCTTTGGCGAAGAGATCTGTGATGGCGAGTAAGGGAAAATATGGGAAGTTGAAGGGTCAAGAAAATCTGAAATTGATGAATCTAGCTTTGTTCTTCCAGTACTTAAGTTTTTATGGTTTTTTATCTTTGTTAATCTAGAATTTCTTAACTTGGATTTTGATTATTTTTTTTTTAATTATTGACCTTTCTCTAATTGTTTGGTGGAGAAAAATTCAAATGAAAAAGGGATAAGAAGAATAATATTTTGGAATTTTGATTTGAGTTTGATTTTATTTTATCTCGTCTCAGTTCTCATTTGATGTTTTTTTTTTTTTTTTTTGCTCTTATGATAATGGAGGTTCAAGAAGAAGAATAGTGAAGGAGATTCAAGAATATGAATAATTATGATTTTATTTTTATTTTTTTCCTAAATCATAAATCATAACTTTAGGGATTAAAATGTTAAAAAATTATTTAGGAGTAAACTGTAACATATATTATATTTTAATGACTAAATTAGTGGTTTACCCTAAAAACAAATTACATAAGTTGATCTCCATTTTCAAACACTTCAAAGTCCTTAACCTTGTTCATTAATAAATGAAGCTTCTCAAGATTGTTGGGATTTTCCTAAGTTGGGTTTAACCACTAATTTAATCTTAATTTAATGGACCGACCCACAAAGGTTTAGGGTTATTAATCACATAAGGATAAAGAAAAACTTTACCAATAATATACAATCAAGAAGGATCATATGTTACTGGTATATTAATCATTTCTTCAATTTAACAAATGAGTAGCTAATTGTTTTGATTGGATGTTTTAAAATCTTTTAATTAGTTGTCATGTAACATTCTAAGCTCTGTATGATTATTTATATAAAACTTTCCGGCGGTGTATAAAAACTCTTTTCTATTATCTATAAACAGTTTCTCACTTGTGGGCTGATTCCTGGGTCGGACTACATCGGAGATCATAACGGGTCGGGTCGTTCCTGCTTCCGCACTGCTCAAAGCACGGCCCATCGCCATTTCTTCTCTCAAAACCCTTAAACAAATTTCCTGCTTCACTGACTTGACAGAAAATAATAGTTACTTTTTCTGGATTGAGAAATTAGCAGATATTATGCAGTGTCATTTGATACCTCAGGGACTTATCTTCAAGAAAATGCCGTTTTCCATGGAGCTACCCATTTTTTCAAGCACCCACTCCCCAGCCTCTCGTGTCTCGTTGCGTCCCTTTGTTTCAACATGTGTTCTGTACAGTTCATTTCTCCGTTACAAAAAGTTTGGGGAGAAATTGAGTTGTAGTTCCAGGCCTCCTCTTCGAATTTCGATGTGTGTATTGAAGGATTGTTGTTCGTTGAGTGGGGATTTGAAAGGGGATCGTGAGGTTGTGGAAGTGATAGGCATTGGCAGTCGAAAAGATGCTGTTATTGACTTCTGCTTGAATTCGAATTTTCAGTCGGCTTCTTTGCGGTTTTGGTAATGCTTTGTAACTCTTCTTTTGCTTCAGAAATTGCTTTGCTTAGTGCTCCGAGCTCATTTTGACTATCTTGGTAGAAAGAGTTTATAATGCTTAAGTTCATTCTAGAGATGAAGCCACCTTATTTATTTTTACTTGGTACTGTAATTTTGACTTCCCCTTTGACATGCTTGAAATTAGTCCAGCTACATTCAGGAACAATCAATTGAATCTAGGCATAGTTAATATGTTTTTTCTTTTGGCTAGTTAATAAAATTGAAAGTAATTTCACTATAGGAATATGCATCAGTCAGTATGACTCTGCTTCTGCTCAATCTCTTGTAATGCAGATAAGCTTTAGTTCGGCATAAATTGATTTACCTTAGTATTCAACATTCAAGTTCTTTTGTGCAGGAATATTTTGGTGAAAGATTCTCTTCGTGTGGAGTTACATCAAAGGTTAAACGGGAAAGGTTTTCTCAAAATTCTCCTTATTTTTATTCTTCATGACTGTAGTTCGTGTTCCCTCCATACCTCACTTGCAAAAGATTCTTTTTTTCCTATGCATTTGGCTTGAAAAAATCAAAAGCTGTGCCTTTTTTCAGATCTGTATATTCACTTTCCATAGATATTGTACATAATTATATGGAGAAGAGGTAGGCATGATATTAGTTAAGTTGTCATAATTTGAAAGTTTTATTGAGAAGCTTTCTTTGGTATTCTCAGTGATAATACAGTAGTACTTGATTTATGTGCTTGATTAATTTGCTGAAACATAATATGTGACTATACTGAGACAAATGAACAGTAAACTCCAAGTTATTAATACAAAGAATTATTTTCTTTAATTATTAATACAGGCAGGATTAGCTTCATAAATAAATTTTAAAGTGAGCTATGCATATATAAACTGATTGAATATAAAAGTGAGACAAAAGTTGGACTATTATGTGTTCAATTTCTGTTAATTTTAATTCTAAATGTTTAACCTGCAAATCACTGATATTGCAACTAACTAAAAAATGAAATTCGTTTAACTTAGAAAGAAGTTATAAATAAAATGAAAAACAGAAAAGCTAGATAACTTTGTCTTGCTTGTACCATTATGAGGTTTTGAATTTCATGATGGATTTCTGCTTTGCAGATGTTACAGCTAAGATCGTGGAACCTTCACATTTTATACAGTCATGCTCAAAGACTGTTATCCTTGTTTGTACATTTCTTACCTATAACTCTTGTTTTATTTATGTATTGTGAAACATATTATTACTTATAGATATACAACATTTTCTCTACATTGACCAACGTCAAGGACTCTATATCAATTTATTCTTTGATACAAAAATGATATTGGATAAATTACAGTTAATTTATGTACTTAGGAATTTGGGAATAATAACCTAAACAACACCTAGGGTTTTGTTAGACATCACCCACCAAGAGTGAAGCCCGCAGAAGAGACAGACAAGAACTCCAATTTTGGTAGAGTAAGGCAATATATAAGAGAACGGGGCCTTAGACAAGCTAAGGGGCCAAGCACTCTACTCACCTTTCTTCTTCTCCTCACACAGGAGATTTAGTGTAAACAGATGATTTTCTGTCAAACTATATATCCCTTTCTCACTCAATTTGGAAATTCTGCTGCAAGTGGTTGCAAAACTTGGGTGCCCCTGCAAGGAATTCCACCATATTCCATGCAGCTATTGTTGTTGATACTGTAGACCCTACCCGAAGGTTCAGGCCAGATTGTAGGAAATGGCAATGCATTTGTATTTCTATGAGAAGCTTTGTGGTACTCATGATTCCTTGTATCTAGGAAGTTTAAACATCATATTTAAGGATTTGATTGCATCACATACCCATAAAATTGAGAAATTATCAAAGTATTTATTGATTAATTGAAATCTCTCTTAAGAAGTGGTTAAAAAAATATTTATAATGTTCCTTAAATAACCTTTACTAAATATGATTAAGCTAAAGGGTACTAAAACTAACCTAATAAAAATAGGAAATACTATTAGAAATAGGAAAACTAAATACTAATAAGAATAAAATCCTAAAGTTACTTAAACTATAATAATAGACTCCTAAATAGTATATTAGTTTTACATTTAAAATAATTGTAATTTCTAATCTATTTAGTTAATCTATTGCTATTTTATTTTGCATTATTTTTCCTTGGTTGGAGAAAACTTGTTCACGCATTTCAAGTGGTGAATGATGTAAAATCTTGATTATCAACCTTTCACATAAAAGTTAGCAACCTTTGTGCTCGGTTATTCTCTTCAGTAGCAAACATAATGGAAATACATAATGGTTTATTAGTGTGAAATCCTAGCAGGAGGATAAAATCAACTATTGACCAATTTGCACCTAAACTTATCCTTGAGTTGAATATTATTAGACCCTAATTATAGGCCTATTTTCCTCCTTGCATTGAACTTCTATAGAACTTTCTTTAGGCAGTGAAAGGTCTTGAGGAACCCTAGAATATATATTCTTTTTTCTTTTTTTTTTGAAATAAAGAGTGTAAAAGTACTATTCACAAGGTATCAAGGGGGTACCACCCATTTACAAAAAACTTACATTTGTATGAGAGTATCAATGATTATACCAAAATCCTTCATTTTATATATGCCCCTCCCAAAATCAAGGACCCAAAAAGATGGAACCGTGTATTCCTAATTTTAGTCATCTCACCCTTAATACCCTCAAAAGCCCTACTATTTATTTCTTTTCATAAAAACCAAAATATAGTAAGAGGAATAAGGTTTACAGTTTGTTTTTTTTTTTTTGCATAAACCTTCCCAAGCCCATAGTTCATCTTTCACCGACCCCGCGATAACCCAGTTCATTCCAAGCAGTTCATAAACCATCATCCATAATTCTTAGGCCATAGGGCACCACAAAAAATATGATTGCAGGATTCAACAACTTTCTTGCACATGTCGCACACATTAACCATAGCTTTACCTCTTTTCATTAACTTATCAGTTGTCAAAATGCACTCGCAACTTGCCTCCAAAGCAAAAAAAGCAACTCTTGGATGCGTTTTAACTTTCCAAATCTGATGAGCCTGGAAATTAGGAATCCCAGCAAGCTCTCTTCCCATAAGGTACTTATAATAAGATTCTACCATGAATTCCCCATTCTGTTTAAGCTTCCATTCAAGCTGGTTCCTATTCTCATTGACATGCACCGTGGACAGGAGCCGTAACAATACTTTATATTCTTTGATTTCCCAATCATTCAAGTTCCTGGTCATATTCACAATCCATTCTCTACTGCCATTGTTATCTCTGTATGCATCTTCAATAAACATGTTCTTGGACTGGGCAATGGCGTAAATTCTTGGGAATTGTCTTTTTAGGGTACCCCCAACTACCCACTCATTCAACCAGAAATGAATTTTGTTGCCTCTCCCTAATCTCCACCTAATGCATTTCTGCATTTTATGTCAATCCATCAAAATTCTCCTCCAAACTCTTAACCCGTGCGATCTCATCCCATGTTTCCCTGCCATCCCCTCCTCAAATCTTCCCCATCGAGCCTCAATCACTCTTTTCCACACTATATCCTCCTCTTTCAGTAACCCTGTTCTCTATTGCCATTGTTATCTCTGTATGCGTCTTCAATAAGCATGTTCTTGGACTGCGCAATGGTGTAAATTCTTGGGTTAGGCTACCCCTAACTCCCCACTCACCCAGCAGAAATGAATTATGTTGCCCCTCCCTAGGATATGTATTCTTAGGGAGACATGAAAATTCTTCTCTTTTCTTAGCTTCAATACGTTCCTTCTCTTTATCTTTTTTAATGACTACAGATACTTTTCGACGTTTGTGTTTATTCATTTCTTCTATAGTATTAGGTATGAACATAAAATGATAAGCATTGGTAGTGTCATTATGTTGAACATGTCAATTGTAATGTCAAGGTTGATCCAGAAGAATATGTGTGAATAGCATAAAGACTATATCACACAAGATTGAATCACTGCAGATACCAAGGTGAATAGAAACAAGACTTTATTAAGTGTTACCAAAATATTTGAATTATCTGCCCAAGCTAGTTTGTATTGTTTGCAACTGCAGCTGCATCAAAAGATTAAGCCGTTCAATTATAGAGATTGAAACAAGATTCCTGCAATAATGTTTATGAATAAAGATTCCAGCGGGCATGATTATGAATAAAGTTCCGAGTAGGGTGGCTAAACAATTAGAGATCATTCGGAATAAGTTTCTTTGGGGAGACTCTGAAAATAAAAGAACATATTATTTGGTCAACTGGGATGAAGTCAAGCAGTCGATGACCATGGGTGGCCTGGGTATAAGGTTTATTACTAGTCTCAACAAGATTTTTCATGGAAAATGGATTTGGAGGTATTTCAATGATGTTAACAGTTTGTGGAGAGGAATTGTGGACCTCAAGTGGATGAACTTTGACAGTAATGGCAGTCTTATTTTCCCAAAAAGATCTCATGGTACTAGTGTTTGGAAGGGAATTTTATCCATGTTCACTGAGATGATGTCAAATACTTGCTGGAAAATTGGCAATGGGTGCAGGGTGAATTTCCAGAATGACCGTTGGTGCAGTGATGACAACCGTAAATCTGTTTTTCTGGCTATTTATTCTATTGCACAACACAAAAATTTGATGGTTTGTGATGCTTTTGACAATTCTGGTTTGTGTAACGTGTTGGTTACCCGAAACTTAAATGATTGGAAATTGGATGAGTATGGGCAGCCTTTAAACCTGATGGATGGTATTATTATTCTGGACAGACGTGACACTTTGATCTGGAAGGGGCAAAAAAATGGCATTTTTAGTATCCGGTCTTTCTACAACATTCTCTCCAACTCTAGTAACCGGTGTAACACTGTCAATTCTCCTTTCCCTTTCAAATCTATCTGGAAAACCGGCACTCCTCCCATAATTGCTTTTTTTGCTTGGGAAGCCAGCAAAAAGAAGATTCTGCCTTTAGATAATTTGATGAAAAGTGGAAAAGTTATGGTTAACAGGTGTTTCCTTTGCAAGTGTAACGCCGAAAGCAGCAATCACATTCTTCTATGGTGTCCTTTCGTTTCTAAACTTTAGGCCATGGTCTTTAATTTAATTGATATTAATTGGGTAATGGCTGGATCCGTTCATGATGAGCTCTTGGCTTGGAATGACTTGAACTCAAGCAATCACGTCAATCGCCTAATTCCCCTTGCTATATTTTGGATTATTTGGAAAGAAAGAAACAATAGGGATTTCGAAGATAACAAAGATACTTTTGTAAATATTAAAAATAGATGGTTACATTGTTTTGGTTTCATTCTTTTGGGTAGTAACTTACTATCTTTCGATGACATTGGAGCTATTATCGATACCTTCCTAGATATGTAATACTTTGTACATGGGCGGTACCCCCTTGGTGCCCTTTTTTAATACATTTACTAACTTCTATCTCAAAAAAATTCCAGCGGGCAGATTGTTATGATGTTTACCTTGCTTCATTATAGAACAATACTACATGCTTGAAAACAGATAGGAATGTTCTATATAGTCCTCTTGACATTCCGATGTTGATCATGCATTATAAAGCTATATTATATCTTAGATATTGAATTCCGTAAGCATTCAGCACTATCATATTCATGATATGTCATATCAGTATGCTGATCCACTTTCTGTTTCAAAGAATGATGATTTTGTAATGAACTGATTTACAATTTAGAATTGTCAGCTAAAATGGATAAGATACAAAAGTATCACTCTCAGTTGTAGCAAAAGAAAAAGTGGATTCGAAATATAAATTTTTTGGGAGGATTTTTTGAGAATTTTTTAATTGTAAAATTTTGCATCACTCTTCAGTATAATTGGCCAGAAATAGTAAATTTAGCTTGCTAGTTCTTTGTACTTTACCTTCTAAATGAAATGTAATGACAAAGAATTCTGCTCTGCTTTATTTTTCCCTTATTCAGGTGGCTAGTGCAGGATATGATTTGGATCACAGTGCAGCAATCGATATTCTTAAAACAGTAAGGTCTGCAAATGGACTTGTTGTTGCTATTGTTTTGAAGCCTTTCAGCTTTGAAGGGCGTAGGCGCCTTGACGAGGTAATGCAAGCTTAGCAACTCCAACTAACAATGTCTCTTTGTCATGAAATATAATAAAATTGAATTTATTTAACAAACACCGACAAAGTCAGTGATATCAGAATTATTTTTCTTCATCCTACATACAAAGTTCCCAATAGCAGCACTATAACTTGACTGTTATGACCAGGGTTATTTCCACTGCATAAAAATGTTGTAGCTTGTATGCAGCTCACATATCATTTTAGTATTTGTTGCATTACTTTTTACTGAGCCAGGAGGATAAAAATTCCATATTCTTACTTGATTTTAAATGCTGGGGTCTTCCAAGATAATAAATTAGTTTGAATAGGAAATTCCAATGAGCTACCAAACTTTCTGCAAACAGGAAACATTTTCAAGTGTTAATTTGACTCTGGTGAAGTGACTGAAAGAAGCTGTCTTTAAGAGCTTTATGGGTCTGAATAGCAGTTTGACAGTTAGGAGATTACATGGCTGCATGTTTTTGTCAAGTGCTTTAGTGAAAGGTTTTTTTTTTTCTTTTGGATAATGATTGCATAAAAGGTTTTAAGGTGGATATTTGGGCATTGGGGAGTCTGTAACAACTGAATGTAGTACAGATGCAGCTTGAAGGAGTTCTCTTTTGGTAGAAATTTATGAATGATTCAACTCATGCAGTGTGTAGTATCAGTCATTCACATGATTTTTTTTTGAGATAAAAGAGTAGAAATATGTATTGAATGTAGGCACAAGGGTGTGCCGCCCATGTACAAAAAATTTACAAGTCAATGAGCATATCTACAATCTACCAGTCATTCACATGATAAAGCACACAAGTTATTATTTGGAGTAAAAAAATATGTGGAATCTATTTACATGAATGTGCTTCAATCTTCTTAAAAAGGTTCTTCATGGAGGCTGTTAAATTGCTTTCTCTTTTGTCATCCAAGAAAACAAGTTTCTCTTTTGACTCCTTCCTTGTCAACCGCTCAGAAATGGTTCCTGATTATATATTGTTGTAGTTATTGACCTTTTGAGTCTTAACCTTCCAGTTTATGAATTTAATGAAGCTAACGATTTGTCTCCTGTCTTATTTCTTTACTGTCAACCCAACTTGCAGGTCAAAGATTTGGCTGGCAAACTTCAGGATCACATAAATTTTTGTATTGGTAACTATTTTGAATTTGAGCTAAATTTTTTCTTCTATTCATATTATATACGGCAATGACCGAAAACAAATGATGCAATAAGAAAGTGCAAATTTAACTAAGTCATTAATGTGTCAGTACGAAAAAAAAAGCCTGGTGAGAACATCTATGAAGTTCCTGTCAAAAAGTACGCCATAGGACAGCCAACTCGTAGTTCTTTAATTCTCATTCCAGGATATAATACCCTATAATGTATAAATAAATATTCCTTTTTCAATTATTGTGTCCTGTCAGGTATTTGATTCTTATGTTTGTGGATATTTATTTAGTAAAAAATTCTACCCTGACACTGAAACCTTTCTATTTTGAAGCTAAATAGACTGTTCTTTTGCTTGTCTACCAGTAAATCCTTTTATAATAAATACAGTTCTACTGGTTGGATTGCTATGCTTAAAGAGCACATCTATTTTGCTATTTCCAGATGTAGATACTGACAAACTACTTAAAAAGGATTTAGTGACTCTGGATGAGGCTCTGAGAACTGCAAATAATGCTGTCTTGTTGGCAATAAATGCCGTCGCAGTTCTCCCATCTGTGAGCATACCTTCTCTTTAAGTTTTGTTGACTTTCAAGATTCAGAATTTGTTCATCCTTTCACAGTTGGTTGTCTCTAAGATGATTTCAGGGAGTTCAAAAACAATTTTTGGATGCGAACAACAATTTTAAGGAGCTTAAAATTTCAGACATTGTAAAAGTAAGCTTTCACTCTGTTGCGTTTAGCAGATCTATCAATCGTTATTATTTGTTTTTTTTATATATATATATGTGCAAAATAGAGTTTTCTGTTTGAATGTTCAGTATGATTGCCACTTTATTATCCTCATTTCTCGCTGCATATAGAAACTTGGGCAATGTATTTTTTTCGTCACTTATACATTTGAATATGATGTTTCCCTATATGTTATATGATATGCCTTGTCTTTTGCAAAGCTAATGCAACTGTATGCAGATTTTGGAGGGCTATAAAGAAGCAAAAGTTGGATTTGGAGTTGGTCACGACATTAAAGCATCAATTTTACAAGCTATATATGACTGTCCCTTTATTGGTGCTGGTATAAAGGTACAATAAAAGTGAACTTTAGGAAGAACTTTTAAAATTTTTCAACTGACCAATGTTATGCAAAAGATTATTATTGCTGTTTCTCTTACCATTTTTCTAATTTTTTCCACATTCATTTGCTTCTTATTGACAGGATTTAAATGGAATAATAATATGTATTTTTGCAAGTCCAAATCTTGTCGAGAACAATAATGCACAAGCTGTTTTGGAAACTTTTCGTCGAATCACAGATTACAAAGGGCAAATCATAATATCCACAATTCATGAACCAAATCTGGAGCCGAATGAGCTCATAACAACAGTTGTTATTCTAAGGTAAAATTCTTGTTTTAAGATTGCATATGCACTGTCAATTGAGATGTGCTTGATTTCATGATTTTTAAACTTCAGTTTATGTTAATCTTCCACATAGCTGTCAAATTGAAAAACTAAGTCGAAAGTCATTTTTATTTAAGATTCTTATCTAAATTTCATCCTAGTTCCAGTTGTCTTCAGCAAGAACCGCCTCAGGAAGGCAGAATTTTGTCAAGACTGGCCCGGCATTTTCCTTTTTTTTTTAACCTTTTAAGGAGATATCACCCACAACCAAATGCCAGTAAAGGAAACAACATGCCCAAAGATGTGTACCCTTCTGCAATGATAAATTCTAAAAAGTCTAGTGAAGTGGAAAGTAGAATAGATTTGGAAGGTATTGCTGAAAGCTTTAACAATTACTCTGAAGAACTCCAGGCAGTATCTAGTGACAGCTATAGTGATGACTATGCTTCAAGGTTCGGTTGTATTCTCCTTTTTGCTTTATTCTGAGATTTCCTTTGAGATTATTGTTCTATTCTAGTTATAACTGTTGTTTCTTTGTTTATTTCTTAAAAAAATAACTGTTGTTTCTTTGTTGATTATTGTAGTGAAGCGGATCAAAGTGAGGTTGGATTGCTAGAGAGCATGAAGGAATCCTTCAATTTCTATGATGAAATTACAGAAGGTTGAACAGAGTTTTTTCATTGTTAAACTTGATATTTGGTTAGCACTTTGGAGAGTCCAATTCTTTGACCTGGGAAATAATGGTCAGAATGCTTTGCAGGATCTCCTGCTTTCTTAAGGGAACAAGCCATTAGTTGGAACCTGGGGCCAGGGGATGAGATTGCACAGCAATGGGCCAAGAAAAGAGAAGCCGAATCAGGGGATTCTCCAGCTCTTGACAGCCTGAGCATATTCAGTCTTCCTGTTGGTGTCAGACCTTCAGAAGAGTTGAAAGATGGTTTCCGTATTTTTGCACAATGCCTAGAGCCAATAACTGAGGATGATGTAAAAGCACAACGGCTTGTAAATTCAAATAAAGCTATGAAGGATGTATATGATACTGCATCTACATTATTGAAAGGAAAATATGCTGATACTCCTAAGAAGCAAGGAAACCTTTCTGTTCGTGCAGCATCTATGCTAGTAAGATGTGCCTCACATTCCTTTTAGTAAAGGCTTCTTGTTTTTTGGGCTTGTCCTATGCAAAGGATGTATATGATACCATCTACATTATTGAAAGGAAAATATGCAGATATTCCTAAGGAAACCTTTCTGTTAGTGCAGCATCTATGCTAGTAAGATGTGCCTCACATTCCTTTTAGTAAAGGCTTCCTCTTTTTTGGGTTAGTCCTATACATAAGGCCTTGCAAATTTAGGAATAGAACTCTAACCTGAGGTTCTGATAGGAACCACTTTTGCAACTGGGCTCTACACGCTTGGGCAAGAACATGCTTTTATTACATGGTTTTCCTTATTTTTA